CTTGGCAGAGCACCATGGCATCACAGCTCACAACAACCTCAAACTCTTGGGCTCAAGCAATCCTCTTGCCTCAGCCTCCTGAAGTAACTGAGACTACAGGCACCTGCTACAACACCTGGCTATTGTTAGTCTCACTCTTGCTCAGGCTGGTCTCCAACTCCTGAGCTCAAGCAATCCACCCCTCAGCCTCTCAAGAGTGCTAGGACTACAAGTGTGAGCCACTGCACCTGGCTCATTTTCCTCAATTTTAAACTATACAATCTAGACATTGTCTTTTAAAAATGAAGACTATTGATCATTTCTAAACCAACTGAAAATACATATAATCAAATGCGTTACCATAGCTAAAAATAAGTACAACCTGTAATATTATACAACTATTAGCAAGAAAAATGTAAAAAAAAAAAATGTACTTTCTAATATTTACATAAATGCGGCCTTTTCTTTGGAGAATAATTTATGCTTAATACCCAAGTAAACTTCCTGTGCTTTCTGACCACATTTAATTAAAATCCACAAGCAGCTGAAGCACCCTACCTTCTAAAAATCTAAGAGTTTTATTCATAATCGCCAAAAGCTTGGAAGCAACCAAGATGCACTTCAGTGAGTGAGTGAGTGATAAACTGTGGTCTGTCCTGACAATGGAATATTATTCACTGCTAACAAGAACGAGCTATCAAGCCACGAAAAGACATGAGGGAAGTTCTAAGTAAAAGAAAGTGCTAAGTAAAAGAAACCGATGTGAAAAGGCTCCATACTACATGGTACCAAATGGTATTCCGGAAAAAGCAAAACTGCGGAGACAGTAAATAAAAAGTTCACTGGTGGGGGCGGGTGATAGCTAAATAGGCAAAGTACAGACAGTGACAACAGAGAAACCACTTTGTCCAGTACTATAAGGTAGACCTGTCATTCCTGTCCAAACCCACAGAATGTACACCACCAGGAGAGAGAGTGAGCCTGATGTAAACTGAGGACTCGGGGGGATAACGATGTGTTGAGTGGGCTCATCCGCTGTAACCCAAGGACCAGTCGGGGGTGGGGGGGGGTGATGTTGAAGGCTGCGCACTCAGGGGCAAGAGTAATGGGAAATCTTTGTACCTTCTGCTGTATTTTGCTGTGAACCTAAAACAGTTTAAAAAAATAATGTCTATTAAAAAAAATAACAGCCAAATAAATAAATAGGAGGTCTATCTCTTGTCGTCATTCCTCATCTGTTAAAAAAAAAAGGTGGGGAGGGGAGAGTAACTGTATTTTCCTAATGAGGTTGTTGTGAGGATAAAATTAGTTAATCCACATAAAACTCTTAGGAAAGGGCACGGGACAGTAAGAGTGCATGGTGCATGTTTTTAATTATTTAATAGTCCAGTGCCTTAGTTGAAACATCGTAATTGCAGCAGTCATACATAGTATCATAAGAAAATGAATTCAAATCATTGTTGGTGATGATTGAAGACAACTGAGTATTTCCAAAAGCCTGTTGCACTTCATAATTTAAAATAACTTATTATCTTAAGTTTAATTATAATAACAAACGCTAATGCGTGAGTACAAATGGTAATAGTAACAAAATGATATTTAAAAAGTGATGACACTAGTAAACTAAAGCTAACACACCGCTAGTAAAATAAAATATAAAATAGTAAAAATACATCCTGTAAGACAAGGATACCTTGGATGTACAAGAATTACAGTGCTCACAGTGCTGATTCTCTAGAGAAACATATCGTTGACAGACAGGACAAAATCTAGAAAGTACAAAAACAGAGAAATGAGCTGCATATATTTATTGAGATTCACAGAGCAGATAAAAGTTTACAAGGACACTCGCTACAAAATTCAGGGTGTAACGTGAACTCAATTCAATATGAAATTATGGGCCTAATTCAAAACTAATATTCATAGAAGGACTACATGATTCTACACTGAAAGCATTTTACTGCTAGATTTATTTCTGGTTACTTGTGTATTTCAAAGTCCCACCGTGATCTTACCTGTACCCTTCCTCGGTAGGAAGGATGATTTTGTGGGGTGGAATGTTAGTGAAAATACGCACAGGAGACTGTTTTCGACCTGTCTTTCCATGTTTGTAAAGTGCGTGATTATCATAATCTACCTAGAAAATGTTAAAAAGAAAATTTACTCAAATGAGTCAACATTAAGATTCTTTAACCAATACATGAACAAGTCTATGTCAACATGTAAGTTAAACCAAAGCATTTAATAAAAAATTCTTTTATTTATTTATTTTCTGAGTCAGGGTCTTTTCACTGTCATCCAGGCTTGAGTACAATGGCATCACCACCGCTCCTTGCAACCTCAAACCCCTGGGCTCAAGCAATCCTTCTTCCTTAGTTTCCCAAGTAGGTGGGACTACAAATATCTGCCACCAAGCCTGGTTCATTAACTAAATTTTCTTTGTAGAGACAGAAGTCCCACTATATTCTCAGAAGGCTGGTCTCAAACTCTTGGCCTCAAGTGATCCTCCTGCCTTAGCCTCCCAGAGTGCTAGGATTACAGGTATGAGCCATAGCACTTGACTTGTTGTCTAGTCTTAAGATAACAACTCTAATCTTGGCTTGGTACCTGTGGCTCAAGCGGCTAAGGCACCAGCCACATACACCTAAGGTGGTGGGTTCGAATCCCCAGCCCGGGCCTGCCAAACAACAATGATGGCTGCAACCAAAAAATGGCC